CTCCAGAGTTTTGAAAAGTTGAGGCTTCTGAAAGCAGATGAAATTAACATAAATAAGCATTTGTATATGAATACCTCATATATCTTCCTAACAAAATGATCATTCTATAACTTGTGTGAGCTAAGTTGAACACAGATGAACTTACAAATACTTCGAGTTACGAAATCTTACAGGAACAAAGAATAATACATCGATATCTGGCGATATCCGAGCTCATTTTGAGTTGCTTGCAATGGCGAGTCCCTGTCCAAGTCAGGGTCGAAATCATGCGGACTGGAGAGGAGTTGAAAGATTCCTGGTAATTAGAATCCAAAAGAAGTATTTGATCCGTACTGATTCCTGATATTGTAGTGTTCATACTTTGAATTGTCGTAATCGACTGGCTTCATCTCCACAGGCCTCGGCTCGGATCCTACAGCTCCGTAACTGATCTCTGCACTTTTCTCGCGCTGGCGGTGTCGTGGTCTTTCCTTTTGGCTCTTGGACCTGCTATAAGGAGGAGGCATCTCACCTGAACCGTAAAAATCGGCATATTCTTGACGTTTTGAGGATCGGTGCTTGCTTTGCAGTGAGGGATCTTTGAAACTACTTGATTTGAGCTTTGGAGGCTTCATCACTTCAGGAAAGTTAACACTTGCATTGGCTATATTAGATTGAGATTGTCTCGTTTCAGTCAGAGGGACAGGAGTTCTTTGCATTTGAACAGATGGCCGTTTGGGTTTGGGTTCGTCTTCGGGCATCCTGAGAGAATCTTTCAATGGGGTCAGGCCTTTTCGTGTGTTACGAGCTCTGAAGCGGGTGGAAACAACAGAAAGGAAAATGCTAGCCACAGATTCAAGAGCCAGTTTGGACAGATCAACGACAAGCTGTCCAAAAGACGGCCATCCCGGTTCCTCCTTAATACCATCCATAACCGGCATCGATTCTTCCTTGTTTGGTTTTTCTTTAAACTCAGTTTCTGAAGGAGAATACTGCACCAAACAAGACCACAATTCATAAGGCCAAGCAAATGGTACAAATTCGGAAGTATAATCAAGGAGTTCTTGGTTGAACTCGAAGGAAAATGACTCGAGTTTTCATAACCCGCTTGATACCCATTTTGTTATTAGTTTTCTGTTTCCAAAAACTTCATCTCCAAGTGCTACAAATAGTGAAATCATTTTATACTTGTTCGAGCAATCTCTGCGTATGGTGATGGAACAATTATGGTATTCTAAACTTTCTAGCAAACCAGTTAAACAGTAAATAGATTAAATGAAAACTTACTGTCTGAGACACGTTCGACGTTCCGAAGCCATGTTGAAGCATATATGTTGCGTATCCCGCCAAAACAGCACCGACAATCATAAGAACATCTGGGGACAAAAGTAAAAGACAGTAAGGAACTGAATACCCTTCATAGTAACATTGTTTGTTTATCACAGATCCACAACCAAGACACCAAACATCAGCGGAGAGACGATATTCGTTATCGTGATTAACAAAAGACGAAGCAATAAACGGCATCCTTATTTAAAATTTACGCATGGTTTTAACATACCAGTGTTTGAAATTGGACTGTCAGCAGAAAAAGTGATGCTTCAGAAATGAAAGAAACACAACACAAGGGAGATGTTCCATACCACTATTGGAAATTGAACTGTCTTGATATTCACAGTCCTCCTGATTGAGAGATATTTGCCGAATCGCAGCATTTCCTCGATCAATAACTAACAAGGAACAAGTAGGGCGGATATACATTACATCAAAATCGTTCGAGAACTTGGCATCTTCGCCGGGTCCATCTCTGTAGCCTGCAACATTTGACTTTCCCCCGGCAATGGTCGTCACACCTACAAAAGAATTTTATTATAATATGCTCCTTTATATATAACCACGAATCACACATAAAATTTTCTCTTAAATTCTTCAAATCAAGTATTGTGAGCCATTAAAATGTAGAACATTCAACACCAATCCCAAAAGATAACAAGTCCTTATGAGTCACAAAATTAATCTATACAATAACAGGTTCATTTATTATTTAGATTAACTTTTAAATTTATTTTTGAACTTTGAGCATTTTATCGATTTACATTGGATTATACTTCTATTTAGTAATTGTCACTAAAACTGTTCATGAAATGCTAACGTGGCATGCGAGCTTATTAAACTGTCTACCACATCTCGTCGACTCAACCAAAATTTATCTAATAGACATGTCACATTAGCCTTCTGGTAACGGAATTAACGATAAAGACTAAATAAAAGTATCATCTAAAATCCAAGGACGTAATTGAAGCTCTCTAAAATTTCAAGACTAAATAGACAACGTTCAGAGTTCTTGAACTAAATTTATAACTTAAACTATTATCTAATAAATCAAAAGGAACATGCATCTACTACCAGCATCTCCGATCTTTCTGATGGCCAAATTCGAGATATCAGCAACATACACGTTCCCTTTATCATCCATGGTTACACCTTTTGGATGATTAAAACGAGCATCATTTGGTTTTCCATCGACATGTCCCGTGTGGCTTTGAAATGATCCAGCAACCAGTCTTGCTCTAGTATCTGTGAAGACAAATTACAACAACAGAAGCAGAAAAATGGAATGAAGATTGCAACTCATTAATGAAAAAAAAAAAACCAAAGATTTAGAATCAACAGAAAGGAACCACCACCACACACATAACCTTTCACTTTTTACTTTTTCAGATAAAAGAACAAATAACGTATTCTTTTGGCATTAAATCGAAACTCCTGTAACAAGAAACTAAACCGAGTTGTATTAGATAGCATCTTATCGTGATGAATTCTGTTTGAACATTATGAATCAGGCAAGGGACAACTCTCAACACTTAATGCTGCAAGTTAAAATATAGCCGACCATTTTTTATACAAAGGATTATGTATGGAGAAAGAAAAGATTATGGTAATGATGAGATAAACCGCATTGTACATTTGGAAAATGGAGGGGTAATGTTCACAATATTGCTATTAACTGAAGCATTGACGAAAAGTTCACCCTCCTTCGAGTCGAGCTGAACACTAATATGCTGCTAGTTCAAATCTAGGTTACCATATTCAATACAAACGATTACAAATGGAGAAAAATTTATGGGAACGAGGTCGTACATTTGGATAATGGAGGGGTAATCTTCACAATATTGCTATTAACCGAATCAACGACGAAAAGTTCGCCCTCCTTCGAGACATGGATCTTATGTGGGAGAACTCCAATCTCATTTCCCTCCACCACTGTCTCAACCAAGTACCCATTCTCAAATTGCAAGACATTCCCATCTGCCAAACAGAAGCTTACATCACATGAAAAGGAAATTTGATATCCACAACAAACAAATACAACCAGTGAGTACCAAACAGACTCAAATAGTTCTTTCACAACCACCTGATGGGGGGGCTTTGTTATAAGAAGACCTGGTCCATTTCACAAGAGAAGACAAGTGTTTTATCAATGGTCCTGAGAAACAAAAAGAAAACAAAAAATTCCCACATCAAAAATAGCCAAATCACTCTTAAAAGAGAGCAGAAAACTGGCAGTGTAGGCATGTGAACACATTTTGTGCACAATTAGTGAAGGAATAAGCTAATTTGAGCAGACCCATCAGCCAAACAGATCGAAAATGAAGACGATGAAAGAAGGTACTCACCTGCAGGAGTAGCATGAACTTGGATTTGGAGAGTGAAAACGAGTGCGACTGTTATGGAAGTGACAAATGTAAACGAGTTCTTCATTGCACAATCGACAGATTGAGGCAAGTGATGAGAGAGATAGATAGAGATCTCGGAAGTTTCGGCTCAGTAATCAAAGCAGAAACCGATTTCTGCCATTTTTCTGGAGACGGGTACTGGAAGGGAGAGAATCTGAAGCAATGGAGTGTTAATTGACAAAATTGCAAAATGGGGTTATCTCTACTATACTCTTTCGGCTGCAGAAACAAACAGAAGATTCATCAGTGATGGGTCTGGTAGAAATTGAAATCTGAGTTCGTGGTGATTATTTTCCTTTTCCCACTTTCTTTTTCCTCTTCTTTTTCCCTTTTCTTTTCCCTTCTTCACCCTCCTTTCTGATTTCCACTTTTTCCCTCCTTAGCCTTACTTTCTCGGAGGAAAGCCAGCCACGGATTTTCGAAAATGTAAATAAATTTGTCATTTTTATTTCTTTTTCTTTTTTTTCACTCAAAGATTCCTGGTTAGGATTGTTATCGAAACCATATTTGTATGATCTTTGGTAGAAAATTTGAAAAATCAACTTTAAAAAAGAAGTAAGGTACTTTAAATTATTAACTGCATTCACCACTGCGCCAACACCATAGACTTCATTGTAGTGACTATGCTGAATACTGGCTAACGTTCGAGGTATTAATAATCTCTTTAAATATAAGAAGTTTAAATCTTTATCATTGTTATTACGATTTTAGTTTTTATATAGTTTAAACTTAATTTTAATTTTGTTATTATAGTTTTAAAAATTTCTAACTAGACTTCATTTCAATTTGGTACTATAGTTAAAAATAAATAATAAAAAAATTGGCCATGTAATTTTGGTTAAGCTCCAAGTTCTTCTTAAACCATGTTAAAAAAATTCACTCGTTTTGTCTTCCTTTTTAGTCAAACTAAACTATAATACTTATACAGCTAACTATTTTAAAATAATTATAATATAATGGGACAGTTATAAATATATCAAAAAAAAAGTTAACAAAATAACAACCAAATTTATTTTTTTCAAATATAGTAATTAACAACGACTCTACTTAAATAATATATATCTATAATATATTTGACTACTGATATATGTATGTAATATAAATCTGATATATTATTAATATGAGTGTCTGATATATTTGTAATATATATATGATGTACTACTAATATTAGTATATGTGATATAACTACCTATATGATTGTTTGCTATACTACTAATATGAATATCTGATATACTACTATTAATATAAGTGAAAATGTTTGTTATATTTAAAAATTTTGAAAACAATAAAAGATTTTTGTTATCCATTAAATTTCTCTAATATAATTGGCTAAATACTGACGCAATCAATCAAAGGGAAAACACAAGCCAATTATCAGGTAAACAAAAAAAAATTATATAATATATATATATATATATATATATATATATATATATATAATGTATCCAAAATGATAATGGTAAAAACCATTCATGATATTTGACCAAATGATATAAATCAAATTGAAATTTTAATATTATTGGAATCGAAACTTTTAGGGTCCCTTTGATAACGTTCCTGTTTCTTCATTTTTAATAAAGAAAAATGAATAGTATGGCCCAAACATCAATAAATTCAACTATGATCAACGAATTTTTTATTTATGTTTCGGAACAAAATTGGAAAGAGGAACGAGAAGAAACTTGTTTTGGTTGTTTCCAAAATTTCTATACAATTTTGGGAATGTTACAAAACAAATGAGAAATAAGATAAACATAGTTAGTTGCAAAATGCTTAAATTTCTTAAGAAATTAGAAACGAAAACATTACTAAATGGACTCTTAAACTCATATGGGCTAAATTGAAATTTTACCCGGTGTATAAGGATCTAATTGGATAATACAATTAAAAAAATGTAAATATGCAATATAATAATCAAATATTTTGCTATAATACCTCAACTTCCATATGTTATGTATTTTAGTACCTAATCTTTGCATGAAATAGAACTAGACTAAACATATAATTTAGTTTTTTTTTTTTTTAATTTGGTCCCTATTTTTTAAAAGACTTTAAATTTTATCTCTCGTATATTGGATTTTTTTATTAAGTCCACAGAATCACTAATTTAAAAATTGACGATATTTAAATTTGAGAAATATTAATTTTTATGGGATGCTAATGCACTGATGTTTTAATAGGTCAATTTTGAATAACAACAATCAATTGTGACTTGTGAGTCGACTAATACTACTTCTAAGCATATGGAATGATTAGATTTTTTATTTTACGGGAGATTTCATATCTATTTTATCAAAATTGTATTATAAAATATTTTCAACTTAACTAACTAGTACTTTCTAAAAAAAAAAAAAAAATAGTAATCAACGAGTGTAATTTGACATTACATCGTCATTTTATCTGGTAATTGTTTTTAAATATCAAGTTTATATTTGACATTACATCGCTAAGTTTATATTTATTGTTTAATAGAAATATTTATAAATTCGTGAACAAATATATTGGATATGTATTATATAATATATTTATTTACAAGGTTTTTTTAGTACAATGTATGGGTGGGAGATCAGACTCACAATCTCTTGATTGAAAATGTATGACAACAACCGCTCAATTATGCTCGCTTTGATTATTGACAAGGTACCAAATAAATTAATTATTTTAAGTCATTTTCAATATAGTATTTAATCTTCAAAATTCTCGATTATAATGTTAATGTATTGAAAATTATAAATTAAGTCCTAACCTTTTTCTAGGTCCAAATTGAAAAAGTTAATGTCTCATTAAATCATTATTATATCAGTTCTTCTATGTTCAAATTGAAAAAGCTAATGTCTCGTTAAATCATCATTATATGAACATATTTAGACACATAAGCATGAATTTCATTGACGTTTGGGTTTGATTTTGGACGAGTTAGAATATAAATTTTTGTTTACAACTTTTAACAATTTTTTTTACAAAATTACTTGATTAAAAGATTTTACTAGACTAAGGGTAAAATATGTTAAAAGATATCAAATTGAGAATGACTCATTAGAGAATATTGGACACGGTACATCAGACAACTAAAAAATGAAATCGTAGTACAGTATGACGAGTCAATAAAATAAAATCCAAATAATTAGTAGTGTTGTAATTTGAGACAATTTATAATATTTTAAAATGTTGAAATAATTTCTTGGTTCTTAAACTTTCCGTTTCATTTACTTGATCCAGTATAAAGGTTCGTTTTAGTCTCATACTTTCAATTTAGGATTATTTTAATCCATATTTTCAAAATTTTAAAACAAATTTACACATATCTATAGCATATATAAAGACACAATATAAATAAATTTTTACCCCCTATTTTGTCATATTAATTTAATGAATTTTAGCGACGATTTTTTCATTTAATTACAAATTTCTCTCCCTCCCCCAACTACCCCTTAATTTATCTCTCTTTTTTTTTTTCTTATTCTCTTCTCAAATACTTTCTCTGCACCTTTATAAATTCTACTTTTTATCTCTCTTAAAAACTCTTTCTCTTAATCTTAATTTCATTATTTTTCGTACTATTCTCCATCCATCCAAATTTCTTACTCAAATTATCATTTATGTTTTTTTTATTATTTACATAATTAACTCGCTCGAATAAGCCTTTAATATATCTCACACTCCATATTCAATTTTTACCTTTCATTAAAATTATTTTAATGGTTTAAAAACTCAAATAAATTTATTGTCATACAATTGTCCCTATGTTTTATATTATTGTAAGTAGGGTGTGATAAATTTTTTAACTATTAATAATTGACGTGTTTTTTTTTTCTTTACTGTGACAAATAATTATCACATATTACGTTGGATAAAATCAACAAAAATGTAAAAAAGTCATGAAATTTAATAACATTTATTTTTTAAAAAACTAATAACACCTCATACCTTATTTATTAAATTTCTCTAATTTACTTTGATTATCATCATTTTACATGAATAGATTATAACATTAAATTAATAACATCGACTTAACCAGGTCTGGAATTTTGGAATGTCTGAACTTATGCAATTTTCATTTCCATCTATATAATGGATATCGTTGAAGGGTCCTGCGTACTAAATTTATATTTTGATTTTACATTTTTAGGATATGTTCTTTTTTAAGCTTTGTTTCTTATAAGTTTAATGTCTCTCCTATCGGTTATAGATTTGAGTCTCTTTCTTATAATTCATAATGTAATGTTCATAGTATTACTCAAACATCACATATCAAGGTCTAAGAAAATAAAATTATGTAACCATAAAGAAAAGAAAATCAAAATCCTAGTAGGGGATAATGAAGGGAAAAAAAAACTATTTTGATTTAAAAAAAATCGAATAAAAAGAGTAAAATATTTATACCGTGGGCTAAGGCGGCCCAAATTGGGTTGAAAGTTGGGCCGAAGTCAGCTTTAAAGGGCTCCGCTCTCCGTCTCTGAAAATTTCAATTTCCAAATCCCAAACGGATTCAGAGAAGGCGGCTGCCTTATAAACAGATCTCTCGTCTCTGCTCCATTTGCAATCCTCGCGATTTTCCTTCCAGTTTTGACTCCTCTTGCCCCGGCAGGTTCTCCTTCTAAATCTCCGCTCTCCGTTCATGTCAATTTCTCTCAATTTCTAGATCTGTATCTCTCAATTCGTATGTGCTAATTTAATTGCTTGCACATATCCGCGATTAGGGTTTCCTCAATTTTTCTCAAATGTTCGATCTGCGATCAATTTTGTTATAGGAATCGGTGGAAATCGGGGGTTGTTTATCTATCGCGTGTAGATCTGTTGAATTTTGGTTTTGTTTTTTTGTTTTTGTGTGTTGCAGCGTTGATAATTGATTTGGTTGAACGAAGATGGGAGGTGGATTTAGAGTCCTTCATCTGGTCAGACCGTTCCTTTCGTTTCTCCCCGAGGTGCAGAGTGCCGATCGGAAAATTCCATTCAGAGAGAAGGTCATTTATACTGTTATCGCGCTCTTCATCTTCTTGGTATGCAGCCAGCTTCCTCTGTATGGGATTCACTCCACCACGGGCGCAGATCCGTTTTACTGGATGCGTGTGATTCTCGCTTCCAATCGTGGTACCGTCATGGAGCTTGGGATCACCCCGATCGTCACATCTGGTATGGTGATGCAACTCCTGGTTGGCTCCAAGATTATTGAAGTCGACAACAATGTGCGGGAGGACCGTGCTTTATTGTAAGTGCATGTTTATATATATTTCTGCCGTTTATTTAGATGTTCAATTTACCATGATTGGTGCTAATTATGTCCGTTGATGGATAACTTATTCAATATGGTTGAAAAGGACTTACCACACTAGTTTTCCGTTATTGTTAAAGAAACTTGGTTGCTTGCATTTTCCAAATCTGTTTTTGTTTAAGTTTTTAAAACCACAATTGAATGCTTGGTTTGAAGAGAAATTTGTTTACCAAGCCTTCGTTTGCAGTTGAGGTTGGGATGCATGCTATATTTTATTTTCTGTAAGTTTCATGTATTGGTGAATAATGACAAGATGAAGCATGGTTAAGTTCTTTGGTTTTCTATTGTTTTCCTAATGTTTGTAGGATTTCATTTTTCCTAATGTTGTTGTTCTAGCTGATTGTGAATGCATTGATCTTGTGCAGTATATCTTTTCTAGTTGAGGTTTGAGGAACCAGGCTGCTAATATGATTTCTTGTATGAATCTACATTCACCTTTGCATTGTAATATAACATATTTCTATTATTATCTTCTTCAAGAAATGGTGCACAGAAATTGTTGGGCATCCTGATAGCTGTCGGTGAGGCAGTTGCTTATGTTCTCTCGGGAATGTATGGTAGCGTTAGTCAACTTGGTGTTGGAAATGCTATTCTTATAATTGTTCAACTCTGCTTTGCTGGTATTGTTGTCATATGCTTGGATGAGCTTCTTCAGAAAGGATATGGTTTAGGATCTGGAATTTCCCTCTTCATAGCAACCAATATGTGGTAAGTTTACTTACCTTACCTTTCTTGTGTGGAAAATTTTTATTTTTTGACTGGAACTTGTGAACATTGTCCTTTAGTGTCCTTTTCTTTCTCTGTTCACATTGTCATTGAGGGACTGTTAATATTGTCTGCATTTTCCAGTGAAAACATTATCTGGAAGGCATTTAGTCCGACCACCATTAACAGTGGAAGAGGAGCTGAATTTGAAGGAGCTGTCATTGCATTATTCCATCTTCTGATTACCCGAACAGACAAGGTTCGGGCATTGCGGGAAGCATTCTATCGGCAGAATCTTCCAAACGTGACGAATCTGCTTGCTACAGTCTTGATCTTCTTGATTGTGGTATACTTCCAAGGGTTCCGTGTGGTGCTGCCTGTGAGGTCAAAGAATTCCCGTGGACAACAGGGTTCTTATCCAATTAAGCTTTTCTACACCTCCAACATGCCAATTATCCTACACTCTGCCCTTGTATCTAACCTTTACTTCATCTCTCAGGTGAATTGACTTATCTTCTTTTATGCACGACTGAGATATACTTGTGTCAATACCTCCTAACCCATTGCATGCAATTGTATTTGTAGTTGCTGTACAGGAAGTACAGTGGGAACTTTTTGGTGAACCTTTTGGGCATATGGAAGGAGTCTGAGTACTCAAATGGTCAATCCATCCCTGTTGGCGGCCTTGCTTATTACATTACCCCACCATCAAGGTAATATTTTTAGCCAAAAAAACAGAAGAAACGAATTTAATCTTTGGTGCCTGTGTGTTCTTTTTAGTAATAGATTGTGTTTCTTCTTGCAGCTTGGCTGATATGGCGGCCAATCCTTTCCATGCTCTGTTCTACCTTGTTTTCATGTTATCAGCATGTGCACTCTTCTCAAAAACTTGGATTGAAGTTTCTGGATCCTCTGCCAGAGACGTAGCCAAGCAGCTGAAGGTATGATCCACTCAATCCTGTGTGCTTTCTTTTAGAACAAAATAAACTTGAAAAGAAAAGTCTGCCTGTAATTTAACAATTGAAGAAGTTTTTTCTCCCAAAGAGTGATTCTTGGATTTCCAACGCTCTGTTTTGATTTGCAGGAACAACAAATGGTTATGCCTGGGCACCGTGAATCTAACCTACAGAAGGAGTTGAACCGTTACATACCCACAGCTGCAGCATTCGGAGGAATGTGCATTGGTGCGCTGACCGTGTTGGCTGATTTCATGGGAGCAATCGGGTCCGGGACTGGAATTCTACTTGCAGTCACAATTATTTATCAGTACTTCGAGACCTTTGAGAAGGAGAAAGTCAGTGAACTGGGTCTGTTCGGTTTCTAAACTCGCTTCGAGTTAGCGAGTTTAATTTATACTTTGGTGGTGCCAAAGAGCTCCCTGTCAATTTTGGTGCCTAGGGATTTTCACGAGTTTTATGTTAACACATCTTAAGATCTAAAGTCCACGAACCAGGTTTAACTCTAGCTTTCTTTCAACTGTTAAGGGCAAGATAATATCATCATCATCTTGAGACTTTGTATCTCCCAGCTCTTTCTTTTGTGCTTCTACTTCCATGTTCGTTTTCACGACAACAACACCGTAGATTACCGTAGATTTAAAAGATAAACGAAGAAGTCGAGTTTATATGGTAGCTAAGGAGTTGTACAAAGGCCTAATAGCTGAAACTTTGTTCGTCGGTCAAGCTTCCATGTTTGTAGCCTTCAAAGTTTGTGTTTTTCAATTTGTAACCTTGGATTTGTTTTTCACCATTTATATGGTTTTAAGTTCAAATTGAATTTATTTGACCTTTTTTTTGGGTTCCATTCTTGAGTTTCTTCATTCCTATTTCCCTTTCAGCTTTCTGGTTTGATTCTCGCTCTGTCTTGCATTCCAATTGTGAGAACAGATACTATCAAACACCCCACTTTCTACGTCTCCCTAGCCCGTGCCTTGGATTTCCTAAACCAATAAGTCAAATATAAAGTATCATTATTTATTGCATAAATATATTTAACGATAATAACTCTGTTCTGTTTTGAATGGAAGGCAGGAGTCAAATTGTGATACTAAGTCTAAATTATAAAAAAAGAAAAGCTAAAATCATGTCCAAATAATCATACTGATCTATAATTTAATATTTTATACCTATTTTTAGACACATTGCAAAAAGTGTCTTTGAAAAGGTTCAAAACACTCTCAACACGGTTTCAAGGCGAGTTAAAAAAGTTATTTTAGTTAATTAAAAAAGTTGATTAAAAATGTTTGTTCCCGAATAAGGGCAATATGTTCTCATAAAAGGTTGCTCCAATCCGACCTAACTTTGCAAATTTTTAGGGTGGTTTTTTTAATTGTTATGCATTCAAAGAGTATTTATTTTTAAATTCTAAAAATATTTAAATATAAGTAATTATATATATATATATATTTTAAATACTATTCACAGTCATCATTACTAAAATGAATTTATTAAATAGCATATATCTAACATATATTTTGAAAAACGTTGCAACTCAACTTTTCAATTTTTTTTCTTTAATCATAGCATAAATTTTACCTTTACTACGGTACTTTATTTACATTGTTATGTTACTCCTCTAAAATTCAAAACTTCTCACTAAATTTAAAAAACACATATTTATATCATATTATTTATGTAAATATCTCTCTTTTTTTATTTATTTAAATAAGTGCCGGTGTAATTTTAAAATCTTAAAAATATATTTGGGGTGTGATAAAATAAGATGCAAAGTTTCAAAATTACTATTCGCTGTCAAAATTGTTCAAACCTATTAGCTCGAGTCAACCTCTACGTTGGAAAATCTAAGACCATGAATAGTAATTTTTTTTTTAAAATATAATTATTTGTTTCGATTCACTTCTTTCTATTATGTGAAAGTCTAATGATTTGAATGAAATTTTGAATTCTTTTAAGGAATTTAAAACTTTGATTATTAGGTATTTTGTTGATGGGAGAGATATTTAACATCACCAAAAAAACAAATCCCTACAAGATCTAAATCTAAAGCTTTTTTTTTTTTTTAAACCAAACAACAATTACTAAGATTACTGAAATGACCAAATTTTATTAATAATTGTGTGTTCAATCAAATTCATGCATGCCAAATCACCTTGACACTCCATGATTAAGACTTCTCACCTAAACCCAATGTTTTGTTTTGTATGTATATATTTTTTAATTCAAAAGAAAACCCAATTAAACTAACTAACTTGTTTTTCTTTATTTAATTATTGGGAGGGTAAAATAAGATGTTTTTGTTTTGTGTAATTCAAAAGGCTAACATAAATACCAATCAAATTTTTTTACTCATATTACTTAGTTGAGACATTATTTTAGTCTTTTTATTATTCGTCGAGCTATATTTGAATTGGCCAAAATTCTTATATGGTAGCTTTGCTAAGTGACAATTATATTTATCCACAATAGGTTTGAATCTCTAACCTCGTGGAGGCTACTGTATATATTAATCATATAAACTTAAAAGATTTTACTGTAATATTATGAAGATACAAGGACTGAATTAGTATGTAAAATAAAATAGATTAAAAATTACTTTTGGTCTATGTACTTTTAAGTGACAATTTAGTCTCTAGACTTTAGTTTGTAACGATTTAGTCACTCTGCTTTCAAGTTGGTAATAATTTAGTTTCTGTAATTTCAAATAGATAACAATTTAATCACTAAATTTTAATATGTAGTAATTTAYTTTTTATAGTTTAAAATTGTAATAATTTAGTTTCTACTCTAAAAAATATAATCAAAATTAAGTGTCAATTTTTATCAGTCTTTACATTACCATTATTGGTTCTAGATAATAAAGATTGATTATACAATTTCAACCAATTCCATTAGTTGAAAGTGAAATATATATTTCTATAAATACAGATATATAAAGTCTTTTATGAAAAGAGGAAAAGAAAAAAGTAATCTGAAAAGGGGAAAGAAATCCCCCTTCTGATTGTGGTATTAATTATACAAATTTAATTGACAAAGAGCATATTTCTCTTTAAAGCTATAACAGGCCTAATTCATAATAAACTTAAAAGAAACTACTATAAATACAAATATTAATTATTTCTTGTTTTATAACATATATTTCCAAATACCATATCTCATTTTTATATGTTTGATTAAATTATAATTATATCGAATGGTTATTGATTCTCAAATTATAACTTTATTCAAAGTAAACTAATAAATTATGGTCAATACGAGCATAACTCGACGATAATTGGTATATATCTCTGATTAAGAGATTATGAGTTGAAATCTTCCAATCTCGTCTTGTAAACTTTTTTTAAAGTAAGGTTTATGGACGAATGTTTTAAATTTATTTTATAATTAATTTTAAAATGTTCAAAAATCTGTTTTATTTTTTTACCATGACTCTAAAATGGTTTTAAAAAATGAGAAAAAAAAATATTTTAAAAAGAATTAAAACAAAATCGTTGTCGCGGTGTCTTAATAACGAAGTTTGATAAATCAAAGGAAAATCCAAACCTAATAAATAAGTTGTTCCCGCATCTTTGCTAAGTCATAAATCATTATTATTTGTATTTATATTCACGTCTTTTTATGATACATTCCAATTAATTGGTTTTTTTTTTTTTAAATATACATCATCAGATAAATTACTAATATATATTTTTTTCTTTTTAAACAAATTACAAATGTCCATGTCTTAATTGTTTATCTTTTTAAATATTACATTTGAAATATGAGACTAGATTCTATTCTAGGACTATTAGAAAAGTAGAGATATTTTAAACTTGCGTAAGTAAAACAGTTTAGAATTGGGAGATTCAAACTCAAGAACCACGTTTGGTAATAAGTATTTTATTTACTGAATTATGCTCAGATTGACTAGTTCTTAAATTATTTCTTTTAATCTTAATGGTGGTTTGTAGGAGGACAAACTATCGATACCTTAGATGATAGTAATCCCATATGATGGTTACCTACTTTAGGAATTAATAATTCCTATACATTTTCCAGCACCAAATGTTGTTCAGACGTGCCTCGTGAGATTAGTCGAGGTGTATGTAAATTGGCCCGAACACCCACATATATCAAAAAAATAAAAATAAGTAAGTACCTTATATATGATCAATACCGTATTGTATTGTGAAGCTATATATTCAAGTGTGCAATATTATAGTTTGATTTACTATTTTATTTTAGTAAGATTCATTCTACATTAATGTCGAACTTTACCATTTATGAAAATATCTAGCATATTTTATTCGTATTTATTGAAATAAATTTTTCGTCACATGTTGACATTTCTATTTATCTATTAAATTCAACATCAACATGAAGTGTGAATCTAACATTTCTATAATATTGCAAAAAAATTATCAACTAATATTAAAAATTTTTAATTTACTTAAAAATATGAAATGTTTATCAATTGATTTAAATGTTTGCTATAGATTTTTTACTTCTATTCCAAAAATATCCATCCACACCGATTTCTATCGAAATTTCCATAAATTTAAGTTAATAGACTATGTTTTATTAGAATGAAACACGTGTTTGACATATCAGCCACTCATACCAAATACTCCCGTGCTAATGCCTACACTGGAACTTTTTCTCCCCAGCTCATGTGGGCCACACTGCCAAAAGTCTGATTCAGCCCAAAGAAGGTCTGGTCTTTTCACATCACGTATGAAATTCCCGGAATACCCATACTCACAGCCRACTGTAACGCSGACTTCTCCCAAAACGGCTACGTAATTTGAACAAAAGTATAGGGCTAAATTGGTCTAAATAAGCTACGTTGCGTTTTTTTTGGAGTTTCCTTCACTCCAAGGACTTTCCTGGAAAGACACGTCCTAAATCTGTCTTTTTCTGTCTTTTCCACCTTCTATATATATATATATATATCATATTTATTTATTTTTTTGGGTTACCAATTAAATTAATTTTGCTATTTAAAATGACAAATTTTTTTAAAATAATTTTTTTGTGCCGCTTTTTAAAAATTAAAACACAGAGCCTGACTTAATAGATAAGTCGTGAGTTTAAATCTTTTCCCTCRTATATTRTACCGGAAAAAGAAAGAAAAAAGACTATACATTTTAATAAGGAGATATCTCTTACYTTCTATCGTTAAAATATTTTACAGCAAAGAGATGAACAAATAAAAGRGGAGATAGAAAATAGATTTAAAAATTATAATAATAGATGTTTATTAAATTTGTAGGAAAATATGATAAACACMTAAATATTATTCTTCTATTCTAAATATTATTCTTTGTTTTTAGGATCACATTCACTAATTTTTTTTAACGACTAAACTTGTTTGACTTTAAGCAATTATGAGCAAGTGACCTTTTAAGTATTTTCACAAAAGTGTTTTTTTAGTATAATTTGTAGGGGTGTGGAATCGAACTCACAATCTCTTGGTTTGAGATATATGTCAATTACCACCGAACTATGCTCGTTTTGACCCACAAAAGTGTTTATGTTTCTAGGTRGAGAGAGAATTCTTGRAATGAAAGCATATAATCAAGATATTACATTATACTCTATGCATAAAAGTATGGTATAATAGTATTATTATTAATTTTTATTTTTAGTACGATTTGCTAAGCTAAGTACAACTCAAATTAAAATATATATCTTTAAATAAAAGGTTGGAGATTCGAATTGTCATGCCACAAAGAAATCATAGGAATGACTTGAATGTTGATACTATAAATTGCCAACAAGTTATGGTGCACTTTATTTATGTATATATATAGTTTTCAAACTTTACTTTTCTTTTATAAAAACTTAATTATAGAGACCATTGTAACTAAAAAAATTGAAAACAAAAAATACAATRGTTATCCAGTGACACCTCAATTATCGAATTTTAAAAGAAATAACTATTTTTGTTGGTCTTATTATTTTCCCACTTAATATTTTGCACACTCAAATATGATGCATGCATATGAGAACCAAAATAATTGTGTGTTAAACTTTAGATACCAAAATAAATAGTTTAGCTTTACGTACTATTTTAACGTCTATTTTGATCATTGTATTTTAAATTTAATTTTTTTTTTCATTTYAATCCTTATACTTTCAATACGTCCATTTTGGTCACTCTGTTTTTAAAAAGGTTGCCACTTTAGCCCCCATTGACAGATTTTGTATACACAACAAAGATATTTACAATTTATGAGTTATATTCCAAAAGAAGTTGCGAGTAAAGTAGCGTCCTGAGTCGTGCTAAAAATATAATATAAAGAAATAAGATGAAAAATGGAAATAAATTGACTAAAATAATCACTTCTTAAAAGTTAAGTGACCAAATACAAAACTAAAATGAATCAGTCGAAAGTACATGGACCAAAATATCATTTAACGAAAGTTACCAACTTGAACATTAAGACATATACCTCAACCAAAATGAGTTCGAGTCTTTTTTTTTTCTTTTAGTATAACACGTGGGAGTGGATGATCGAACTCGCAACCTTTTAATTGGAGATATATGTTAATTACTATTGAACTATGCTCGTTTTGACAATGAGTTCGAGTCCTACTCCCATGCGTTATAAAAAATAATAATAATAATAACAATAAACAAAAAGTTTGAGAAATGAAAATGAAATAAATGTGACCATAATCATATTGAACCAATTAATTTTGTTTTTTTGTTTTTTGTTTTCTGTAGATGATTTTCGAAACAAATTTATTTAATAGATCTCCATTAACTTTAGCGTCGACCGTGTCCTCCTTGGACTTTTCACCTCCGTCCCTTCTTCTTCTTCTTCTTCTTCTTCTTCTTCTTCTTCTTCTCTGTCTTTGTCTTTGGCGTAGCGACGTGTCGGATTCAACCGCGCCAGAAAAGCCAAACTCCGGCCCCGACACATCGAAACACACAGAAGATTTATTCAATCTCAATCTCCAAACTCCAAATCCAATCGATTTTCTCCTCCGACGACATTGCATTCCAACAGGTTTTGCTTCTCCCTTTTCCTTTTTCGACTTCTTCTAGGGTTCTTCTTTTTTGTTTTCTTTGTTCTTCTCTGGTTTCGTAATCTCCGAAGCCGTAGGTTTGTTCGTTCGTTTGTTTGTTTGGATGATCATATGAAATTTTAATTTCGAAAGAAAATAATTAAAACTGTTTCTTCGAGGATTATTTGCTTTGCTTTGCTCTGCTCTGTTGAACAGAGCCTTGTTTTTCTTCGTTCTTCTTCTTCTTCTTCGTTTTTTTTTTTAACAAATGTGGGTTTTTTTAAAGCCCACACTCCACTTTTTGGAATAGTTGTTGAATAAGAATTCTGGTGTGGGTGTGGGAAAGCTTTAAATAC